ATGACATGGACTTTCAGTATGATCATAAAGATGATTTAAGTTTTCAAGACATTAATGATGACGATAATGCATATGGATCAATTAATCCTCAAGACTACAATGATGAGATGATATTTTCGCAAGATAATGTCAATTCATCTGATACTTAAGAGGAAGAAGAAAGTGATAACAAATACAATTATGAAGAGGAGGAAGAGGAGGAAGATAATAATGAAAACAATGACGAAGAGGAAGAGGAGGAAGGTAATAATGATGATAATAATAATCAAGTGGAAGAGGAACGTAATAACGATGAAGAGGAACATAATAATGATGAAGAGGAACGTAATAATGATGAAAAGGAACGTAATAATGAAGAGAAAGAAATAGATCAAATCGTTGAAGCGTTAGATGAAGACAAGATACCGTTCTGCAATGGTGAGTTTACACCGTACTTTAATAATTATACAAATACGGCATTATTTTGCTGGCTTCAGAAGCATAATGTTTCTACGAAAGCATATGAAGATCTTGTCGATATCATTCACAATTCTCAATTTGAACCTACCCATGTGGTAAAAAATATCCGAAGATTCCAATCATGGAGAAAATGTCTTCCTCTTCTACCAATAATAACAAAGTCTATTAAAATTTCACCAAAAAAAACTCCATCAACCTCACGAGGATCAAAACTTTCGTATCAACTCTCAATTAGTGAAATTATATGGCGTGTTCTTAATAATCCGATGCTAATGAAGCATATGTATTTTGGACCCGGCATTAATTCTGAAGAAAAATCAGAATTTTGGCATGGAAATTTATGGGGGGAATCCCCACTTTTTGGACAACACGAAATATTAATATCAGAAGGTTATAAATTAATACACTTTGATACAATTATAATTTATTATCATTGATAATATTTATTAAAGTTATTTATTTTTAATAAATAGTATTGTACCGATCTGGTGATTTTGTTTACTATCATGATGATAATGGTCAAAAAAAACTTGGAAGATTAAGATCAATTTTAAAAAATCATGATGGATATTATCAGTTACGAATTCAAAAAATTTTGGAATATAGTGATTTACCCGGAAATTTAAAAGGGTTACCAAGACAACGTCGTTCTATTACCGGTGAAGTATGGTTACAAGACGAACCATTTTTAATTATAATGACTTCTCAAATTTTAGAAAAAGTAACTATATTGATGATGTTTCAACATCAAAATATTCCTGATGGTTCATTGCGGATTAGTGAAATAATTTATAAATGTAATGACCGTTGGCACGTTCGTAATGTAAAGCTTTCATACCTACATCCATCTGATTACATTTCTATTAGAAATCCACCATCATCATCTATGCCAATCTATAAGCTGTTTTTAGATCTTTATTATGATGATTTTGGTACATTTAGAAATGTATACCATTCTCTAGGTGGTGTTTATGTACAGTTTGGAAATATGCCAGCACATCAAAGAAAGCTAATAAAGAACCATTTTGTTATTGGGTTTATCCCATTTGGAGGAAAATTTGACGAATTTATGATACCATTCATTTCAGAAATGAAGGAATTAGAGAAAGGAAAGGTGATGACTGTCCAAGGACAAGATGCATGGATAATTGCTGGTTTAGGCGTTGTTACGGCAGATTTACCTCAAGGTAACGATATGACAGGAGTACTAAGGTATTTTTTCAACTTAGTTAATAATATAATAATATAATTTTATGACAACTATTAAAATTTTTTAAAAAATAAATTTAGACATAATGCAAATAAGGGTTGTCGTACTTGTAAAACTACTAAAGAATCATTGAGTGCTCACAATCAGGATATCGTAACAACATTACGTTATCATCATATTACAGACGAAGAAATCTTAAAAATTTCTTATGAGACTATAATGTCAAAAAGAGATCAACTTTGTACGGAATATGGTTTACGATCATTACCTAGTATTTTAGATAAATTAAAAAGGGAAAGATATTTACAGATGCTGCAAGATGTTTATCATGCGACTGCAGGAAAGATTGGACGGCTACTAAAATTAACTTGTGAATTATTTTCACGAGAAGGAGAAGATAATTTTATCGAAATTTGGAAAAATTTTGAAATCCCAAAAAGATGGTCTCGCTTACCAAATCCGATTACTCACTACAATAGTTTTATGATGTCAGATTTACTTAGATTAGCTATGATTATGCTATTTTTGTTAAACCAGTTTTTAAAAGAATCAAGTATCAAACGTAATGAAACAGCCATGATTCAACAAAGAATTGATGCATTTCGAGTTAATTCAGTTCCAAAAATTATTATATTTTGTTGGATACATGTTGCAAAAACTATGAAAGCGGTTTTTAACAAGAAATTTACATCAGATAGCTATGAGGAATTGCAACAATGTTTTGAAGAAGAGTTTTCAATCCTTCCAAAGGTATAGTTACAAATTTGATATTGAAATATGGAATAATTTCAAATAATTAACAATATTTTACTTTTTATAGGTTTTTGTAAATTTTGTTAATTTACCAAATATACACATTAATATGCATGCTAAAACCTTTGGAACACTTATTAATACCCAAGTTGGTATAAAAGAAATGGTCTATCGTATTTTTAAGGGGATGGTACCAAAGACTAATTGCAAAAACATAGATTTGGATTTATTAAAGCGTTACAATACTTTATTTGCAATTCGATATTTAGCAGATGGTGGTATTGATCCAAGATTTAATAGATCTTGTACTGGATTTACAAATTCAAATTTTGGACAGTTATTTTTAAATTGGTATGTTACAGAAGATAAATATTCAACTGAAGCAACTGAACAAGTTCAAGACGATGATGATGATACAAAAAGTAAGTATTTTATTGCATATAGTAGTACATTTTTGATATTTATATTTACTAATCTTTTAATTTAGTTATATCTCCAGTAAACTTTATTTCCAATATTTCATTAAAAAAAAGAATGTCAAAGCAGGAACGTGATAAACTTCTTTTAACTTTACATAATTTTAAAACTGAATTGTTTTTATCTTATGTGTATATGAAGTTTGAGGCGGCACTTATAAACTCTTCAATTAGTTGGTACAAATTTGCATCATATATGATTGAAGAAGAAAATGGTATCCTTTCAAAACTGAAGTTCACCTACATCTCGATGATTTTATCACAATTTATGAAAAAGATCATGAAGAATCTTATGCAATAATCAAAGGTATCTTTCAACATAAGGGTAATAATAACAAATATTATGCATTTATTATTGTAGATTGTTTTGAAGATACTATGGTTGAACATTCAGTATTAAAATGTCCACTTTACCGTCTTCAAGCAACAGGAGATAAATGGAGACGTATTTTTCCAATTACTGTAATAAATAATGTTCAAAAAGTACACTTTATTCATAATTGTAATTCAGAAAGGTGCCAACTACCAAATCATGATACTACAAATAGAATTTGGATAAAAAATAATTTTTATTTTACAGCTATATAATTATATTAATTATATAAATATAATAAAATAATTATTTTAATTTGTATCGTATAAAATTTTAGTTAAAATTAACCAATAAAATCATATGCATGATGTAATAATAAATTAAAATTAACCAATTAAAATCACTTTAATTACATGCATGTGATATCTAAAAATAGCTAAAATTCGCTTTTATTAATGAGATTTTTTTTGTTTATTTTCAAAAATACGCTTTTCTCTTGTCTTTTATGTTAACACTTTACGATATTTTAGTTCGTCTCTTCTTTTCTCTTTTTAAAGTATATTTTAATTATCTCTTTACAATATTAACAATACTTTATTAGTTTATATATTCAACATAGTAAGACATCCACATATGAAAAGCAAGAATAAAAGCAAGAATAAAGAAAAGAAAATGTACTTGTCACTCATATACGAAAGAAAAGAATAAAAGAAAGGAAAAATGTACCCACTACCCACATACAAAAGAGAGAAAAGCCGCTTTTAAATAAATAGTGAAGCTGTTAAGCAAGGTATGAAAATAGGATATACGTGTATTTTTCATATTTTTTTTACAATATGTTGTGGTTTGAGTCTTTCTTTGTTAGACTGTGGTATAAATGTGAATATATTTTTCAACGGCCATGTATCTATTGCTTGTTAAATATATTTGCAATTTTTTGTCTTTCTTTGTTAGACTGTGATATTACAATATAAAGTGTAAATATATTTTTCAACGGCCATGTATCTATTGCTTGTTAAATATATTTGCAATTTCTTTTGTAATATTTGCTTTAGCCTGGAGGAAAATGTTATGAAATAGGGCTGGATATTTTATGACATTTTCTGCCTTCCAATTATTTTGTCTGGGGGTAGCCTGACAATTTGTCATTATCCGTCAGTCGTAGCAACCAGCATTTTTTTACAATATTATGATTTTAAGAAACAAAACACTTTCAAAAAAATTTAAAGAAAGAACTAACTTAAAAATATTATCATTTTTATTATTCTTTACAAAATCCCGGAATTACCTGCTCTAACTATTATCCCAAGGTTATGTATTAAATTTTAAATATATTTTACAAAGAGTACATTTTATTAATCATGATTGTTTTATATATATATATA